ATAAAAAAGGTTCAAATCCTTAGGTTGGGGACATGCAAAATGATAAAAATTTCTCTTCTGAACTGCACCTTCACTTCCATTTTTCTTTTCAGTCTCTTTATTTTGCCCTGATATCTCTCTCTCTCATTACTTTAATACTCAAGATTTAACAAAACTATACTTTCTAAATTACCTATAGGAATTCCGTTTTTATGACTGGATTCTACGAACCAGTCTGTGTTTTCTGCATCGCGGACGGCCCGTATGTCTCAGAGTAGTCAGTGCAATTTGGGAAAGAAATCAATTAAATCTGTATGTGGATGTGTGTAAATATTCAAATGTAATCCCCTTTGTAATCGTTAACATTTTCATAAGTAACTGTAATTTAATTACAAATTTTTTCTGATTACAGTTACATTTATTTTGCAATTAAATTACGTAAAGCCGTTACATGTAACTAGTTACTCCCCAACACTGAAATTAGTACAATATATTTGTTGAAAAAGTCAAATACTGAACACACTGAGTTATTAGGCTGTGACTCATATGATTTTTGTGTTGCTGTCTGCTCTAGCTCCCTCCCTCCTTGTACAATAAATCCATGTGAATATCTGTCTCTGCTAAATGTTTTAATGTAGCTTTACAATCGATATTGATGTCCTTTAGCACAGTATTCTGAATGATGATAATAATGGGGTGCTACTGATACTGATACTAGCAGTTTAATACTCAACTACGTTAATAAAGACAAAACTATCTAGCGTATTTACAGATGAAACTGACCTGCATTTGTAGCCCTGAACAGGTCAGTGATGTTGCTACATTTCATTGCTTCTTTTGGCCGCTTCATCTCTTTAATTGAGTCCTTGCATCGGTTCTGTTCGGAATCGTTTGACGGAAGCGCGGAACACACGTGAGCTGATTCGTAGCCTATAGCGCAGCGCTGCCAGTCAAGACTAACCGATTTATAATTTTTTATCGATTTATTATCTAATGAAAAAATCGGAAATTATTACTTTGGTACATTGAGAAGGCATAAATATAAAATATTATTAATAATAATAACAAAAAAAATGCTTCCGATGGCCAGTCCGGGCCTGGGAAGGTGAAGGGAATCTATAGCTACAATATGTTTCTGGTTGGCTGCCTTAATAAGCACGTTTTCTCTGAGAGCTGCTGTTTTCATACCATCTTGATCAAATCTCCTCTTTACTTCTGCTCTGACCAGGTCCACAGCTTCATAAAACTCTCGTCTCCATAATGAGTGTTGTGCAACTTGTGCTTCTGTCTCTGGCTCTGCTGTGTGTTCATAACATGTTGGGGTTTTTGTCATCCTGTTCTCATCTGGCATTTTAAGTCCTGCTGAGGATACAGTTTGTAGCATGTTCTCCACCACTGTATCATCCCGAAGGGCCTCCGTGCGTCTTTCAAGCAGTTCAGCACACTTAAGGGCACCCAGTGCACTGACTTTGGTATGCTGCAAACTCCTGGCCACTGACTCAGATGGCTTGCATATTGCTTCACATCAAAGGAGGCCATAATAGGTTTTTGCTTTCATTGCTTGCTTGTGCAAGACTCTGATCTTAGCTCTGATATCTCCTCTCACACTCCTGTCCTCCTTAAGCTGCTCCAGTGTTTTGATGATTTCTCTGTTGCCTCTACACACACGTTTGATAGCTGTTGTTCGTATGTACCATCTTGTTGGACATATGGCCAGTAAGGTAACTACATCATCGCAGCCAAACATTGACTGATAGAGATCCTTGCATTTTGCTGATTCACAGATTACCACGACTACGCCCTGAACAAAGCTAACTGAATCTGCGATAAGACCCACCTCGCGTGCAGCCTCCTGAAGAACTAAGCCAAGTGAATGGATGGTGCAGTGGATGAAGAGGGACTCTAAGCATGTTTTTTTTAGCCACGCCTGAACCCCCCGAAAACCGCCCTGACATGTTAGAAGTTCCATCAAAACAATATCCATGGAGATGCTCAAATGCTGGAGTCTGTGGTACCATCAGCTGTGAGTCCATAGAACTATAGGACTATTTGTGGCACAGGATACAATCTCACGTTGAATTGCGCAGGCATACTATTGAATTATTTAAAGGTGCAATAGGTGATTGTCTTCAGAAACATTTTTTGTTATGCTAGTTGAAAGTCTCTTCACATCCCGATAGCAATCATTAAGTTAAGTGGTCTAAATGTATTTCTGTCATGACAACTCTTGGAGGGATTGGCATGGTAATGTACATGACAATGTTAATGGATTTGGTCTTGGCAGAATAGATCTGCTATGCTGCTGCGGCAGAGCAAGTACCGAGACTTGCTACTGCTAATACATCCACAACATGCTGCTGTGAGCATGTAAGAAATATTGCTGCTGCAAATACGTGAGCTGATTCGTAGCCTATAGCGCAGCGCTGCCAGTCAAGACTAACCGATTTATAATTTTTTATCGATTTATTATCTAATGAAAAAATCGGAAATTATTACTTTGGTACATTGAGAAGGCATAAATATAAAATATTATTAATAATAATAACAAAAAAAATGCTTCCGATGGCCAGTCCGGGCCTGGGAAGGTGAAGGGAATCTATAGCTACAATATGTTTCTGGTTGGCTGCCTTAATAAGCACGTTTTCTCTGAGAGCTGCTGTTTTCATACCATCTTGATCAAATCTCCTCTTTACTTCTGCTCTGACCAGGTCCACAGCTTCATAAAACTCTCGTCTCCATAATGAGTGTTGTGCAACTTGTGCTTCTGTCTCTGGCTCTGCTGTGTGTTCATAACATGTTGGGGTTTTTGTCATCCTGTTCTCATCTGGCATTTTAAGTCCTGCTGAGGATACAGTTTGTAGCATGTTCTCCACCACTGTATCATCCCGAAGGGCCTCCGTGCGTCTTTCAAGCAGTTCAGCACACTTAAGGGCACCCAGTGCACTGACTTTGGTATGCTGCAAACTCCTGGCCACTGACTCAGATGGCTTGCATATTGCTTCACATCAAAGGAGGCCATAATAGGTTTTTGCTTTCATTGCTTGCTTGTGCAAGACTCTGATCTTAGCTCTGATATCTCCTCTCACACTCCTGTCCTCCTTAAGCTGCTCCAGTGTTTTGATGATTTCTCTGTTGCCTCTACACACACGTTTGATAGCTGTTGTTCGTATGTACCATCTTGTTGGACATATGGCCAGTAAGGTAACTACATCATCGCAGCCAAACATTGACTGATAGAGATCCTTGCATTTTGCTGATTCACAGATTACCACGACTACGCCCTGAACAAAGCTAACTGAATCTGCGATAAGACCCACCTCGCGTGCAGCCTCCTGAAGAACTAAGCCAAGTGAATGGATGGTGCAGTGGATGAAGAGGGACTCTAAGCATGTTTTTTTTAGCCACGCCTGAACCCCCCGAAAACCGCCCTGACATGTTAGAAGTTCCATCAAAACAATATCCATGGAGATGCTCAAATGCTGGAGTCTGTGGTACCATCAGCTGTGAGTCCATAGAACTATAGGACTATTTGTGGCACAGGATACAATCTCACGTTGAATTGCGCAGGCATACTATTGAATTATTTAAAGGTGCAATAGGTGATTGTCTTCAGAAACATTTTTTGTTATGCTAGTTGAAAGTCTCTTCACATCCCGATAGCAATCATTAAGTTAAGTGGTCTAAATGTATTTCTGTCATGACAACTCTTGGAGGGATTGGCATGGTAATGTACATGACAATGTTAATGGATTTGGTCTTGGCAGAATAGATCTGCTATGCTGCTGCGGCAGAGCAAGTACCGAGACTTGCTACTGCTAATACATCCACAACATGCTGCTGTGAGCATGTAAGAAATATTGCTGCTGCAAATATAACATCCATGAAATAACCCCCATTTATCATACATGAATCACCTCGTAGCAGATCTATACAGGTGGAGCTGGGGAAGGTGAAGGGTTTCTGAAGCAAGCTGCACTGCTACGGCAAGCACTAGTCATATAATTGAATGTTGAGCAGCAAGCTCATTGGCTACCGATACAGGAGAGACCCAATCAGCTGAGCCATGTGATAATGATGTCATTAGGTCAGATTGAGTTAGACCTATAGGATAGGGAGGCTCCAATCCGATATTTGTATAGGATATCGGCGTCGATATTGAATAAAATTCTAGATTGGGTATCGGTGACAACTGGCCTGATCTGACATCAAACTCTTGCAAAGCAATTTAAAAGTTTACGGAGACGTTGGCTCTTGAACGCTTTCGCACCACGCGGCTATGCTGGGTGCAACGTGTGACATCATGCGCTACCAACGTGCTCTGCACGCAGGTAAATAAGCTAGCATATGGAGCATAGAGCAGCTAACAGCATGGAGCGAGCTAAAACATCCACGATACAAATTGAAGCATTTACAGAGATTTCATCCCAAAGAACATGCCGAGTTCAACGAGCTGAAAAAAACAAAAACGAGATGGTACAAAGCAGCTAACTTTGGAGGAGACAAAGGAAAGAATTCAGACATTTCCACCTAATAGTCTGAAAGCAGCTAAAATCACTGAAAGGATACTGAATTTCATTGTTTTGGATGGGCAACCACTATCCGTCATTGGGAACAAGGGCTTCAGACTCCTAATAAACCACCTGGAGCCCTGGTACGACATGGTGAAACTAAAATATCTAGATGGCTCTGCCTGAACTTTACCGAAGAGTGTGCAAACACATATCCCAAGAGATGAAAGATGTCAAATCGATGAGTTTCACCACAGACATCTGGAGCTCCGACGTGTCCCCCGTGTCACTTTTAAGTTTAACTGTACTCTGGTTGGACGTGCATTTTGTGCCACAAAGTGCCATGTTAAATGCAACACACTTTCGTGGGTCACACAACAGCGACACGATTGCAGCTGCATTAAAGGAAATGCTTGACAAGTGGCAAATTCCGCTCAGCAAAGTCCACGTTATTCTTAGAGACAATGCCAGCAACATGAAAAGAGCAATGGACATCATGGGAGTGCGCAGTTTAGGCTGCGTTGCTCATACAATGCAGCTAGTTTCAAACGAGGGACTTCTCTCACAACGCAGCGTGAGTGATGTCATTGCAGGTGGGAGACACACATTGTTGGGCATTTTAAACATTCTCCTCTTGCATATTCCCGGCTGCAAGATATCCAGCTCGAGATGAACATGGAACCAAAATGCCTCCAGCAAGATGAGAGAACAAGGTGGAATAGCACCTACTTCATGATAGAGAGTCTGGTGGAACAGAAGCGAGCCCTGTCTGCCTATGCTGCTGACCATGACCTACCGACAACACTCACTGCAAACCAGTGGACTTTGCTTGAAAAAAACAAAGACCCGCCTTGAACCATTGAAGGAGTTTAATAGGAAGGTGAGCTCCGCCACTGCCTCTGCTGCTGATGTTATCCCAAGTGTCACTCTTCTCAAACGTGTCCTCGCCATGGAAACCAAGGCTGACTCTGGTATTAAAACCATGAAAAAGACCCTCCTAGAGGCCATCGACAAACGCTTCAGCACAGTGGAAAATGAACCTCTTTATGCACTTTCAACACTGCTGGACCCAAGATACAAAGACAGGTAAGACTAGGAAGAATTAATAATTATTATATATTCCAACGCCATGTGTGTGTGTAACTGACAAAAGTAACTATCATGATTTAATATTTATTGAGCTGCATTTGTTATTTTTTCAGTTTCTCATGTTCTTTCTCACTCTGTGTGAAATGTACAATGTGACTGCAAATTAAAATATGTAAAATGTAATAAAATAAATGTGAGATAACAAATATTAAACAACATAGTATATGTACATTATATTTTACATATGTAACTTGTATTTCAGATTTGGTAAGGATAAATGTGCTACCCTCTGGTATATCTATGATGTACTACTATGTAACTTATGTATGCATGTCATTTTTTCAGATTCTTTACTAGTGCAGAGTCTGCAAAGCATGGAAAAGATGCACTGGCCAAAGAACTGGAGGAAGACTTGAGGACCACCACAGATGATGAGGCATCAGAGATTTTGAAGCCACCAGAAAAAGCCTCCTGGGCAGAAGCAGCAGCAGCTCCATGCAGAAATAAGAGCAGCAGTAGCTTCATGAAAGAATTTGAAAAATTTCGGGAGGAGCGTGAGGAACCTGGTGGTGCAGCAAGCTGCTCCAGTACTGCTGTCCAAATGCATGTTTTTTTTTTTTTACAGAGGAAGCAATCCCTGTCTCACACGACCCATACAAATACTGGTGAGTCAACCAACAGCGATTTCCTGGCCTTGCTGTTGCAGTCTTGAAATACCTCTGTGCACCCTGCACTAGCGTAGAAAGTGAAAGGCTCTTCAGCACAGTTTCCTCTATCCTGGAAGAGAAGCGAAACAGCTGAAAGAGTAGAAATGCTTGCTTTCCTAAGCAAGAACCTGCCACTGATGCTTAAGATTACAAAGAGCTGACTCCTGTCCTGACGAATGTCTACCAAGTCAGTAAAGCTATTGCTTTTTCCTTTGTTTAATGTACACTTCTATTTGCACTGACCAAACTATTAAACATTTATTTTTGTTTATTTTTAATTGTGCAGTTTTACCAAGCTAGGGAAGCTAGTGTTTTACTCATCTGCTTCTGTGTTGGATGTTAAGTTTTATTTGCACTAAAGCATTACAAAGAGCTGACTCCTGTTTATTTTGAATATCTACCAAGATCCAACCTGGTAAAATGTCTCAGGTTACGTATGTAACCATGGTTCCTTGAGTAGGGAACGAGACACTGCGTCCTCTAAGGGTCGCTATGGGGAATGCCTCATCGTGACGTGTCTGAAGCATACATTGAAAAAACACAAACAACACGTTGGCCTGCGTCAGCCATGACGTCACAGTGCGACTATAGTATAAATAGGCGCTGGGATTCTTCGTCTGAAGCTTGCGTCCGAAGCATGGCAAGAAACATAGACGACGCAGTGTCTCGTTCCCTACTCAGGAAACGTCTCGGTTACGTATGTAACCCTCGTTCCCTGAAGGAGGGAATGGAGACGTCACGTCGGAGGACCGACGAATTGGGATCTCGCTTAGAGGGACCAATATACTTCGAGTGTAAACTAAATGAGCCAATGCACATTGGCGTGCGATTATTGCATCCAGCTGCTGCTGATCACAGCGTGAGTATAAGTAGGCAGCAGATGCAGCGCATATTCAGGTTTTCACTGAGGAGCCGAGCAATGGCAGAAGTCTGCCGGGGAAACACGGGCTCAAGGCTATACCATGGACTTTACACAAATGGGATCCACTTAGGTCTTACATATGGAACCCAGCCTCCTACTCGTTCTCGAGGATTCAACGAGTGAAAGCCTGGCGCCGGACGCTCCACCACGTCTGGCTGCCGAGGGGATGGAGGAGCTCAACAGGGTCTACTATATGGACTCTCTGGAGTGGTTTTGCAAGCCGACCCGAAGCCGGGGCCTCTCAGTGCTTCTACCCGT